AGCTGGAAGGGATTGCCCAGGACAGGGTTGGATGGAGAATGCAGGTGAGCGGCCTATGCTCCTTCACGAGGAGTAATGGGCGTAAGTAGTAGTAGTAATAAGTAGAAAATAAGTCTTTATGATAACATTTACAACTTGTCATCGACAATAACTCTCTTTTTTTTTGAAAAGACGAATAGGTAAATCCTTTTTAGAATAATTACCATATAACCAACAAAGCTTTTATAACGTGAATGTAGTAAGATGACTAAAATGTTCTTGTTACTATAATTAAAGGTCAATAAAGGTCATAGAGGTATCAAAACAAATAAAGTGATATGAATAAAATAATGAGAATATTAGACATGAATAAAGGGGTAATGCAGTATTAATAATAATTATTATTAGGGCCAAGGTAACGATAACGATAGGACGCACTTCTTTGTACGCATAGTTCTGGCCTGAGCTCATGGATGGTAAGAGCTTCGGCTATTTTTAGAAGTTGGATACGAAGAAATCTAAGTAGATTTGAACGAACCGTATGTATGACCTTAAAATCAAACTGTGGATCCGTAGAATGATTACAGCTGATTAAGTGTTCAAGTATAGAACTCCTAACTGCCTCCCTCTCACCCTTGTAGAATCAAACTTGAACGAGTTCCCGTATCCGAATTGAAACCAATCGCTGGCTACGGCCAATGTACCATGCCCTACAAGAGCAGATCAACTGGTAGATGCACATGGAGTCGACAATAAGTACTCATCATATCACTTTATTTATTTTTATACCTCTATGACCTTTAATTATTGTAACATAATCATTTTAGTCATCTTACTACATTCACGTTATAATTCGTTACTAACTTATTAAGTTTATTGTTATTATTCGTAATACGTAATCTAGTATTATAAACTTCCAATAAAGCTTTATACAATCCTATAATAGAAATGATTTTTTTACAGAGTAGTCACTATAGAAGATCACTAAAGGATAATCTCTGAGTTGCTTAAGAAGTAATTTCAACTTTCTAGTAATTGGTAACTAACCTTTAGTTCTTATAAAAACTATCTTCAAAAGTATTCTCTAATTGTACACACAAAAAAAAATAATAATGATAAATGTAACTGTAAGGAATTTGAAATATTTCGAACAAACCTTTAGAATTACTGGTTAACTTGTTTATAGACAGATAGTTAAAAATTAGCTTTTTTTTTAAAAAACAGTTCATAAAATGTATTTCAGTTACAAACTATTTTTTAGTTTCTATGCCAATCAGTAACTTAGTTGATTATTAAGCTTTAAGCTTATAATATTATTACAAGAATGAATGAGAAATTATTTAAATAGTTCAGTTGACTACTGGGTAATGTTGATTCATTTAATTGATTTGAAAAAATAACTGATGTGAACAGAGAAACAAGAAACCTTGACAAGCTATGGAAACTATTTTTGGGGAAGTTGTTTTATTTAATTCAAAGCTTGTAAAGCATTAACATTTGTTTTTGTCCCTAGTTTATTCTAGAGATCATAAGCTTTCGTCTGATGTATGATTCACTGCCATAGCCCTTTTTGTTCCAAAGCTATTGTAATTTAAACGTATTATTTTGTACTCTTTTTCTATGCTAATCCTCAGTTTTGCACATAATTGCATTTTCCTAATTATTGTACATTGTGGTCGGTTTAGTCATCTATTTATTCATGTGTCTTTTTACACTGATCTTAAATCGAGAACCAGATTGGAATTGAGAATAAATCGAGTAGTGTTCCAGTTGACTTATCTCCTCTCGCTCAGATAGTAGAATAGTTTTCTCCTCTCTACCTCACATCGAACTCACGCGTACTAGCCTCAAAGTTAAGCCGGTCAGCCTATCGCGTCAAGGTCTTTATCTCGGTTAAACAAGTTATCCTCAGCACCAAAAGTGGGTAGACAGATCAAGGACGTAACAAAAACAAAACAATTGATTTTGGTACTGTTGTGTTTTCTGATTGTGTTTTCATATTCCAATAAGTAATTATTCATGGATCATAACAGATAGAGATAATGAAATTTATATAAATTTAATTAAATTTGGGAAGAATATATTCAATCTTTAGTAATAATTACAGTTTTCATACAGTTTTCACGAGATTCATGATCTCAACTAATAAAATTACTACAATATCCACACACGAAAATACCCTTCTGATAATTTCTCATTGTATTGAATAATATAAATTGGCACGACTAATAAGTATGAGGAAAGATGAATAGTGGTTAGCAGTGGAATCCAGGATGCGTGTTTCATCCTATTTGTGACTCATCTGGATGTACCTGCATCTCAGAGTTGATATTTACTTTGGGACTCGAACCCAGTAACGTTCACTTGAAACACTATCGCGTCATCCAATTGGCTGGGTTCGAGTCATAGAATGAACACCAACTCTGAGATGCGGGTACATCCAGATGACGAGTCTTAAATGAAACGCGCATCCTCGATTCCACTGCTAATCACTATCGACCTTTGCTTATAATGCTTGTGAATTAAGGCAATATCGAGGCATTCTGTACAATACAACACATATGCCAATAAGAGGCTGATCAACTGAAGTCTTGAACCTTAATGAGAAGATTTAAGTAAACAATATTGTTACTAAGAAGTATGTTTATTATTTCATCTGATTATTATAATATAAATGATCAGTGATTTTATACAGAATTTGAAACTTAAAATTATTTCTGAGGAGTTGTATACAAATAGTAGTTCAATTATTATGTGGTTTTATCACTAGTCGATAATTTGAGACTAATACAATTACCATAATGAATGAGAATATAATGTAAATATATAACATTAATTTATCTTATTTCATCCCATTCAATAAAACATAACTAATACCAACTGTTCTATGATATACTTTTAATTCATATAACAAGAAAATATACAGTTCATTGGAAACATAAAACCTTTCTAGTCTTCTTTCCCTAAATAACTGTTTATATTGATGTTTAAGATAAATATCTAGACAGCTTAGTGTCTTCATGTTTAAACGTCATCATGATAGGGTAAATATCACATTTTATTATTCACATGATAGAATTGTTTTCACTATTTGTTTTAAAAGTAATTAATAACAGAAACTTATGTTAGACAGACAATTGGTGAAAACTAAGAAACAATAGGAAGCTATTTCATCTTAATGTGGTAAAGACTTTTAAACTTTCTACATTGATTGTTTATTAAAATATTAAGACATGGAAATTTATTTAACGTTCCATAATCCATGCATTGAAGTTTAGTTATACAATAGGTTATGGAGAGTGGACTTACAGCGATAATTCATCACAAAAATATAGAAAGTTAAAGATTCATAAGTGAATTACATCTTAGTGATATATGGAATACGAGTGTTTCAACGGTTCATATGAATAACTAAAAAACGTTTTTCTATTAAAAAGCTGATTTTTGAAACATCGCCGTCTCAAAATCCTCTAATTGTGAACAATAAGCTGTATTCAAACACGATTTAGTAAAACAATGATATTATATTAATTTAATGGTTGAATTCATGAATCAATTGAAGCTAGACCACGATGGAAAATTTGGAAGCATTGGACGGCTGTTTCATCCTGGTATGGAACTCCTCAGCAGTGCACATCCACAATACCTCTCGCAGGACTCGAACTCAGGATCTTTGGGTCTCGCGCGAGAACGCTTCACCTCTAGACCACTGAGTTGGCATCTAATGTTGTCAATATCTAACTTCAATCAATCCATGAAATCGCTCCACCGTCCACCAACGGCCATTCAGTGCTTCTAGAGTTTCCATGATGGTCTAGCTTTAACTAACTCATGAATTCAACTATTAAATGACTAATGATGTGTGGGCGAGAATGATAATGATTAGGTGTCTGCTTAGTCAGACTTGTAGATAGTCTGACAGGTATCAGATGAGTTATATATTCCCCTATCCTTATTATTATTACTCACTCACTTATCATTGATTGTTGATTGTTGTTGGATTGTGTCGGATTTTGGTGTGGAAATATATTTACTTTGTGGTCAGCTTAATCACGTATTCTTGATCTGAGTTTTGTTTAAGGCCTGTAGAATAGACACTGAGAGGGAATCTAGTGTAGATATTTGTCTAAGGTAAATTAACGTCCCATGTGTGTAGACGTGGAAACCTAACCGTCATAGCATTAGACGAAGTAAAACCGAGCGTTATAACAACTAAATTCTTTGTAAAGTCCCCTTCTCATATTCCATTAAGTTTGATTTCAAATTTTGAAGATAAAACGAAAATTCTAGTAAAAATGTTCCGAATTACTGTCATATTATAACTGCTCATATCTCAATGACAATAACCTTTATGTATTCATTATTAATACTTTCAATTAGTTTGAATATATGTAGAGATTTTTTTCTCAATAAACTGTGAACTTTAAGTAATCTCTTCATCAACATTAAGTAGTCTATATGTAATTTTTCTTAATATTCACATCCACTTAGGTCCATCATACGAAGATAATCAATAGAATTCATTCGGTAGTAAGAATCGGACAACCATTTTTCCTGAATGAATTTTATAGCTATTAAAAATTACATTTCAAAATAGAAGCCTCTATTAAATGAATCTCATACACATGATACAATATAAAAATCACAAAAAAAACTTAATAGTTGAGATCATGAGCTAATTAAAGTTAGACCATCATAGAAAACCTGGAAGCACTGTACGGCCATTTCATTCTAGTATGAAACTCCTCAGCAGTGCGCATCCACAATCCCACCTTGTAAGATTTGAACCTAGGACCTATCAGTCTCGCGCTCAAGCGCTTAACCACTAGATCACTAAGCTGTCATCCAATAATGTTAATATTTGACTTCAACTAATCCACGAAAAATTGATCAACATATGCATCATTGAGTTAGTACTTCACAGCAGACCCAATTGAACTCCACTAGACTCATCATCTCAACTATTAAATTTACCATATATAGTATCTAAAATATCCTTTCTAATACAAAAAAAAACTTACATGCATAGCATTTGATATAAATTGGTGATTTATAGAATTGATAGTTTCTTTTGATTTTGTTATTTTTAATTTAATATATGTAATACATAATAAACATGTATGAATACCACCAAATGTATTCAGTAAATTCATACCAAATATTAACATCCATATAAAACTACATAAAAAGAAATAATGTATTAAAAATGCTATGATAACACAATATTGACGATTGAATATATTCAATTGTTCAATAATTAATGATAATGTTAAATAAATCAATAATAAACATAAAATCGATAAAGATAGACCCATAATTAATTGATTGGATAATTTTTGATATATCGATTTTGTTTTACTATAAATGATTAATAAAATACATAAACATATAGCCGATAAAATAGTAATAATAAGTTGTAAAATATCAAATATAGATTCTATGAATTTCAATATTGTAGATTTATCATTATTATTATTATTATCATTATTATTATTAGTTAGATTAAGATTAAAACCTAAATATTTTGATGGTAATGCAACAAATTCATGCCATTTAATACGTTTATTCATTATTGATAATGGTGTTATATTAGTACGTAATAATGATGAACATGAACGTGAATAACTAGGTGGTAATATTGTATCTAATAAACAAATTCGATATTGATTATTTATTAAATGACAACGAATTTTTACTGTATAAAATTTTAAATATTTTTTTAAATAATCATTAAAATTCATTCCTGGTATTGTTTTAAATTCACCATGACATTGAGCACAATCAATATTTGCATAGATACGATTTGTTTTCAATGATATAACTGGGGCAATAGCACGTATATCAGATAGTTTAAAATGAAATAAGATATTATTTGATATAATACCTGAAATATATTGATTCGTTATTAGATCCCAATTATTTTTATCTATATTAGATAAATCATTAAATTCTATTTTAATATATTTTGCTTGACTACATTTTGAAGCTAATGCTTTTGAAGTATTGAATGGACAATTTGAAATAGCATAAATTTCTTCAGTAAAATCTTCATATTCTTCTAGAATATTTGGATCATCAATGACATAATGAAATTTTTTAATACATGTTGTTGTTATAATATTATTATCATTATTATCATTTAAACTATCATTATATAATGGATAATCTATACAACAATCAGATTTTTTAATGCATAATTCATCACAATAACATTTTGCAATGAATGAATTGCATGTATTATTGATTGATAAGTTCTTGTTTAGAATGATATCGTTTAATTGATTTATTGATGTGTTCGATTTATTGATTATAAAATAAAAAATGATTGAAACGATGTATTTCCACATCATTTTTTTTGTTTTTTTTTGTTGTTTTACTTTCAATTTTAAATTACATAAATTTGTGCAAATAAATTGGGAAAATATTTTTCTCTAGTCTGATTTTTATTACACGAATATGACCTTGAATTATAATGAGCCAATCATAATTCTAGAAATTTTGACGATTCATTATAAAATATAGAAAATAATAGGCAATGAAAATATTTGATTTTGTTTTGATAAATGATGTTACTTTTTTCAACAATTATTCCATTATGGAAATTTTCAAAAGATTATTTTTATTACAGTCAAATCTCAACTAGAGAAATTTATAAAGATTAGACAATTACTTAATAGTAGAGATGGATAAGGGCTAGCAGTGGAATCCTATTTTGGCGTTTGAAGTGAATGATACAGGGTTCGAGACCTAGAATGTACATCAACACGGAGATGACTGTACATCCAGATGAAGAGTCTCATTTAGGATGAAACACGCATCTTGGATTCCACTGCTAACCACTATTCATCTTTGCTCATGCTTATTAGTCGTGCCAATTTATATTATCCAATACAATGAGAAAATATCAGAAGGGTGTTTTTGTGTGTGGATATTGTAATAATTTTAATAGTTGAGATCATGAATCTCGTGAGACGGGGTCGTGGATGCGCAGTGCTAAAGAGTCCCACAATAAGACAAAATGGCTGTCCAGTGCTTTTAGGTTTTCCATGATGGTCTAACTTCAATTGACTAATGATCTTAACTATGAAATACACTGGGAAATGTTAAAAGATTTTACAAACTAAATAACTTTGACATTTAAAATAAGGTCTGATATAAGTTTAGATAAACTGATGTACTTGACTAGTTTGGTAATTACTAAAATATAATTTATACTTTTTCTATTAACATTATTAAAATGTATGAAAACTGTAATTATTACTAAAGATTGAATATATTCTCAAATTTTATTAAATTTATATAAATTTCATAACCACTATCTACCCTTGCTTATAATGCTTGAGAATTAAGGCAATATCGAGGCAATTTACACGATATGCACATATACCAATATGAGGCTGATCAACTGCAGTCTTAAACCTTAATGGGAAGTTACAAGCAAAACAATACCAAGTGAATCTACTTAACAATAAATAAAACTAATATATTTGTAATATCCCAATGAGTAGAAAATTGGATTTTCTGACGTTTCGTGACTTAGTGTAAGTCACTTCTTCAGAGAATAAATAACCAAATTAAAATTAATCCAAGTTTAAATAGTACAATGGAACAATGCAAGAATAATATTTGATCAATCAAAAACAGGTCTGAACAAGTTGATGTCATGTCATTTCTGTCAAGGTGATTCATAAGTGATATGTATGTAAATTTGTGTGTATGTATATGTGCATTGTTTAAGAATGAAAACTTTGTGACCTTTATGGTAAGAAAGGATAGAGTTTAAATTTGTAATATGATAGTGTGAAATTGTAAATACGATCAGACTGAATGGTTAGGATAGATGGTCCAAGTAGGATGTATGGTAAGGCCTTCTTTCTATTGAGAGAAGTAGGATTAAGCATTATATGGAACGCCTCAGCTACCCTCCTTTCTTTGTAGTTGGAAAAGCCTTTTTGCAATATTTTGATATTTTTAAAATCGATTTGGTGGTTGTTGAAAATGGCATGAACTGCTATTGCCGATTTAATTTGAAGTTGGTTCAATTCTACAGGATTGTTAGGAGGTTTCTTTGTGTACCTAATATGTTCTTTGGCTCTAGTCACGATTTCGCGGGATGACTCTCCAATATAATAGGCATCACAATCGATACAACCTAATTTGTAGACGCAGTTCTGTGTGGACATGAAAGGGATTTTTTCTTTCAGGCGAACTAAAGTATTACGTAGTGTGTCCGTTGTTTTGTAATACACTTTAATTCTGTGATGTTTTAAGATTCTTTGGATTTCTTCTGTTGTGCCATGACGGTATGGTAGAACTACAGTACCAATCCATGGCATTTCATTCGAATCATTATTATAATGTAATAAACTGTTTGTTTTAATATGCTTCTAATAATCTTCATAGGAAAATTATTAAATTGTAAGATGCTAATTATATTCATTTGTTCTTTTTGTTTGTCTTCCTCTGATGTGATGATCTTGTTAGCTCTTCTAAAAAGATTTAAGGCTAGCGAGATCTTTGCACTGAAAGGATGTGCTGAATGGAAGTCAATATAACGATTTGAATGCGTCGGTTTTCGGTAAATGGATAGGTTTAGACTTCCATTTGGATTTCTTTTTACTAAGCAATCCAAGAATGGTAGCTCACCATGTACATTTTCATTTTCATTCGTGAATTTGATGTGCGATGAAAGTGTATTATTCGTTTTGAAAAAGATCTTAGATGAGTCTTTTTTATAACAACAAATGTATCATCTACATATCTAAGCCAAATTCGTGGTATAATGTTGTGGGCGAAGATATTTGATTCTATGTATGCCATAAAAAGGTTGGCTACAATCGGGGACACGGGGGATCCCATCGCTACACCGTTAGTTTGTTTGAATAACATACCGTTAAAAGTAAATAGCGTTGAATTTAAGCAAAGTTTTAAGGATTTCATGATTAGACTGATGCTCAACGGACATCTGTCAGGAAGAGTATTGTCGTTCTCAAGTAAACCACTAATGAATTCTAAGCATTTATCAATGGGAACACTTGTGTATAAAGAAACGACATCAAAGCTTACCATGATTTCATTCTTCTCGATGATTAATCCGGATAATTTTGATTTAAAGTCATATGTGTCTTTAATTATATTATGTAAGTTGAGTTGCAGTGGTTTTAATATATTGCTTAAATATTTTGATAATGCATATGTTGGGGTGTTTGTGAAGTCTACTATCGGTCTTAGAGGAATATCTGGTTTATGAATTTTTGGTAAGCCATAAAACCGTGAGACATTACATGATTTGGGATGCAACGCAAACCAAAGCGAGACCCCAATGATTGGTTTTAGCTCGTTCAGAAGTTGATTTGTTTCTAATTTGACTTTATTCTTAATCGTTAGAGAAGTTTTTGGATTGATCTTTTCATAAGGTCCTGTTGAGAGATGTTCAAGAGCTTTATTAATATAATCTGTTTTATTCATGATTACTGTTGTGTTGCCTTTGTCGGCTTTTGTGATGATAATCGTTTTGTCTTTTTTAAGTGAATGCAGAGCCTTCAATTCTTCTTTTGAAATGTTTGGTGTAATGTGTTTTTGTTTAGTCAGAATATGGGATGTCTTTTGACGTAGTAAATGCGACTCTTTTTCCGGTAGTTGTGCGATCATTGGTTCTATAATTGGAGTGCTAAGTGGTTTTCTGTGTAAATTGAAATTTAATCCCTTCTCTAGTAGAGTGATTTCGTGACTGTTTAAGTTTCTGTTAGAGAGATTATGAACAGTTCTTCTTAGATCATTCGAATTGTATTTTATTGTTGATGTTTTCTTATCTTTCTTCTTTTCTTTGATGTTTTCGAATTTTTTAATTTGTCGGTGTTTCGATGAATTTAAATAGTGGCGTTCTCTTTCTATAAACAGGTTGGATATCGTGGTTTGTAATTCGGTCGGGATTAAAAGCTTCAGTAAATCATCAAGGTTTTTGATTCGTTCACGATATTTTTCCAGTAAATGTGTGCATTTGTGAATGCGTTCTCGTAAGAATATTCGAGACGCGTGTTGCGAAGTCTGGATAGATCTCCAGGACCGTTCTGGAGGTTTTATAACAAGAGATTTAGGGATAATGTTGTAAACATCGTTTATTAAATATTCTGCGATTGTACCAATTGCATTTACACTTGGATAATTTGATCCGGTTATTAATGAGTTTGCTCAATTTATTCGAAATTATCAAATCAAACCTTGGTAATGACACCTACTACTTAACAATAGTTTGGATTATTTACATAACTACAAACGCAAGTGCACTGTAGCAGAAACCGAATATCTTTTGCTTGATAGTTGAAAAATTATATCTGTTTTTTTTTCATATTAGCAAACTATTTAACAGTTTATCTTTCAGGTATACAATAGACTATCAACAGATTTTGTTAATTGTGTAGTTTGCCAGTATAAACTGATTGGTCATTCTCAGATTAAATAGTAGTTTTGCACAATGCGTAACTGAATCAAGTAATTCTAAATACTTCCGAATTTTTATACAACGTTTTGTTTTGAAACAATGCACGGTAGTTTAAGTCACGTATTCAAGACCCTTATCACAATATCGAAATGCATTAGAATTGAGAAATAACCTCTATATAAAACACATGAAGCTTTGGCTTATAAGTTTAATTTCTAAATATTCTATCATATACTTTAGTAGTGAACGAGAACACAAGTAGGAACAATTGAATGTATTTCAACAAAAAATTACAGAATCTCTTAGTAAAATCTGAGAACCATACAGTAGATATTTAACTTGCAAACTGTCAATCAATTGTCCCAAACTTCATTGTTCTTTCGTTTTCATACTAATCATTCTTTGTTCTCGTTCTTTTTTTCGATCTTCTTAACCTTCTTCCACCAGACATTTTCACTTTTTATTGATGATACATACTACTTATGTCTATCGACATTAGTAGCACACACCACAATATCATTCTTTTTTATATTTGAAATACTCTCTGATGTTTTATAGTCAATGTATGTGTAGTTAAAATTTAACGTTCATTACAATTTTTATAGTTAATTTCGAAGGTAAGTGTTTTTTAAATCACCATGTTACTTATATCTTTTATTTTTCATATGTTGGATTGATTTTTCATCTTTCTGGAATAGTCTGAACTGATTAAGTAATTGACCCAA